GTTAAAAATAACCAAATAGATCTTTCTGTTTAGTTTTTTACTAACAAATACCAAACAATTCCCTATAATATACACTATAATTTAATCATTATGATATCAAATAATTACATAATATATATTTGAAATGATAAAAAAATTGGACTAATTGGGTTGGTCGAGGTTGAACAATTGAATAACTTTAAAATACATTATATTTTAGCCACTAAGATATAAAATAATAGCATAATATATATTATGCTAGAGAAAATAGCTTATTTAGAATGGCAAACACATGATGTTCATTTGTTCTACTTGATGGGCAAATTCCGTGTAAGTCAGGCTCATTCAACTATTTTATTTTATGATTAGCGGTTAGCCCATTAGAATCCATGCATTAGTTTATTGTTAATTTTTTTCTTTTTAGCAATAAAAAGGAGTGTTGTTTTTGCCTTTTCATATATATTTACCACCATGGAGAAATAAAAGGACTTAAAGAAAAAAATTGACACTCCTGGACCGGTTTAAATCCGCATGTGTACGGTAAGTTGGCCCGTTCCAAAGAGGAAAAAGAAAAAAATTGACACTCTCTATTCTACCCTTCCTACAAACGCTCATGGAGCAGGGAATTTGAAATGGGGGAAGGGTTTTTTCCTCTCTGCGATTATATATTTTTAATTTAAAAAGATACAACAAATGTACTTAGTGTGATTGGTTATGATATTTGTTTTTCTTTTAAGTGGTCATGGTTCGAATCCTAGTAAGTGTCTTTTTAATGAATAAAAAAAAGTAATTGTGAAGACCAAAATGTCCTTCCTACTTTCACTCTGGTTGCAGGAAATTTGAAATGGGGCTTCAAGTTTTCTCATTTGGCTTTTATTTATTGTGTAGACTAGTGTGGGCCCCCGGCCATTTTGCCGGAGGAAGGTGAGGTATGAAATTTGATAATGTAATGGTGTGTATAGCTTATTGTTGTATAGTTTTTTTTTTTTTGAAACACGTGATAAAAATAGTGAATTTTAGTAGGAAAGAGACATGAATAATGCAACGAATAAAAAATCAGCCTTATGAACCAAAATCAAGTACCTGTTACCTTGTGAAACAATATTGTTTATGGTAAAACGGGTGGCGGATCTGCCTATTGCTTCCAATGTGACTGCAGAAATGAATGCTTCCCTAACCGCGGAGGTTGTCCGGATGAGATCCGCAAAACGATCTTTGCCATGGGGTCTAAACAGGCGCCATACTCGGATGGTTTCACGAGAAAATTCTTTAAAGCCTATCGGGGGATTCTTGGGGAGTCGGTTGTGGCTGCGGTTGGCTCCTTCTTTGCTACAAGTAGGATGCTCCGGAGTTTTAACCACACCTGGTTGACGCTAATCCCAAAAGTGGATCAGGTGGAGTCCATGCGTCAGCTTCGTCCCATTAGTTTATGTCAGTTCGTTTATAAAGTGATCACGAAGATCATGGCGGAGCGTCTAGCAGAGGTCTTGCCTCTCATTGTATCAGACGGTCAGAACGCCTTTATCAGGGAAAGACAGATAGTGGATAATATCCTGATTGGCCATGAGCTAATGCACTATTTGAAGATAAAAAAAACCGGGGCAAAAAGGGATACATGGCTCTCAAGGTTGATATGGAAAAGGCCTATGTTAGAGTGGAGTGGTCCTTTCTTCTTGCGGTTTTGGAGAAAATGGGTTTTAGCTCGGTCTGGCGTGGATGGATTCAGGAATGCTTACAATCAGCATCGTTTTCAGTCCTCATGAATGGATCTCCGTCTGGTTTCTTCGCGCCCTCTAGGGGGCTCCGGCAGGGGGATCCCCTCTCTCCCCTTCTCTTTGTGCTTTGCACGGAGGGCTTTGCTGCCCTTCTTCGTAAAGTCATCGCTGAAAAGAGGCTGGAAGGGGTGAAGGTGGCTCCGCGGGCTCCCCGCATCTCTCATTTGTTCTTTGCTGATGATTCTTACTTATTTCTCCGTGGTTCACTCCAGGAGTGTGAGAATCTGATAGAAGTTCTTAATGAGTATGAGGAGCTTAGTGGCCAGAGGGTAAATTTGGAGAAATCGGCTGTTTGCTTCAGTAAGAATGTCTCTTTACCAGATCAGGAGTTCTTGGCGACAATCCTTGGGGTAGGGGCTGTAGGGGTTCAGGATAAATACCTTGGTCTACCCACTTTGATTGCTCGATCCAAGACGGCCACTTTTCGCTACCTGGAGGAGAAGCTCTTAGAATGTTTGCAGGGATGGAAACGCAGGATTTTATCTTGGGCAGCTAAGGAAACTCTGATTAAATCTATCGCCTTAGCTCTTCCACTCCATGTGATGTCCTGCTTCCGCCTGCCGTTATCGCTTTGTCGTCTCCTGGACAAACATGTAGCCAGATTTTGGTGGGGGTTGAGGCTGGTCGCTCGAAGATTCGTTGGGTCTCCTGGAGAAATTTGTGTAGAAGTAAGCACGAGGGGGGGATGGGTTTTCGCCGGTTCAAACAGTTCAATCAAGCTTTGCTGGCTAAGATAGGATGGCGTATCCTGAATGAACCCCAGTCCCTCTTAGCTCAGGTCTATAAAGGGAAATATTTCCCGCAGGGTTCCTTTCTGTCGGCTACGGCGCAGTCCCGCCCTTCATGGGGGTGGCAAAGTATTCTCTTTGGTCGGCAGTTATTGACCAAGGGTTTGCGGTGGCAGATTGGGAATGGTCAGAAGGCTCCGTTGCTCAACTCAAATTGGATCCCGTCTCAACTGCCTTCTTGTCCTGTGTATAACCCGCGGGTTCTGCCAGATACTGGGAATTTGACGGTCTCGGATGTCCTCTATCCTGGGGAAGGACGGTGGTGCGATGATAAGCTGAGTCAGTGGTTTGACCCTCAGACTTGCCGTGCGATTAAGGCGATGCCCTTGCCACGGCAGAATATCGAGGATCGATTAATCTGGCATGCCACTGAGGATGGAATTTTTACTGTTAAATCGGCTTATCATTTCGCGATTGCTCTGTACCAGCAGAGTGGGCGATGGCGGGCGCAGGTTAGTTGGATGGACAAGCGGAGTTGGATCCGGATTTGGGAAGCGAATATTCCTCCGAAGCTAAAGGTGTTTGTCTGGCAAATCTTGACCAGAATTCTACCTACGACTGAGGCTCTTATAGAGAAGGATGTGGAGGTCCTACCCCGTTGTCCTGTCTGCTGGGCCTCTAGGGAGACCATGGAACATTTGTTCTTTGATTGTCCAGTGGCTAGGGCTCTGTGGTCACAGGCGGGGTTTGATTCTCTTGGTAAGGGATTGCCTCGGCATACTTTTCCCCTCTTCCTCACAAAATTGTTGGCGATCTTACATCAACCTTCACAGTTCATGATGGTAATTGCTATCTTGTGGCGAATTTGGAGATCCCGAAATTGGGTGGTCTTTGAAGGAAAGCAATTTACCATTCCGGCATTGTTGAGGCAGTATAACCAGCAAGTAGGGGAGTGGCTAGGCCTGCCTAGGGACCCTCAGGATCCCTCTGCTCATATGCCAGATCTCCCTTCTATGGTAGTCAGCGAGTCAGGGGGACCAGTGTGTCGTTGGGATGGGGCTGTTCGACGAGGGTCACATTCTGCAGGTGGGATGGTACTGCTTAATGATGTAGGTACGCTGCTTTGGGCTGCGGGGGTTCAGTTTCCCCACCTGGATGACCCAATGGTGGTGGAGCTTCTTACGCTCAGGGAAGCGGTCCGCTGGTGTTTAGCGCACAGGTTTAGGGTCATGCGGTTTGAAAGGGATGCCAAGGTGGTAATTGACAAGATTTGTACGTCTGATGTTCGCGACAATCGAGCAGGGACTATTTTGGAGGAAATGGTTCAAATTTTCAGGGATAATCCGGGTTTTACTGTACGATTTGTAGGTCGGGGTAACAATAGGGTAGCTCATATGGTTGCTAGACAGGCCCTTTCTTTGTTCCTGACTACGTGTCGTTATTTTAATTTCCAGACCTGACTGGCTTCCAGGGTGTAACTATCGATTTGGTTCTATCAATATATGTTATCTTTTGTAAAAAAAATTGAATAAATGCAGTATTGTGGCTAGTATCCAATTGTCAGGAAATTTGTGATTTACAATGTTATCATGTACGTACATGAAACTTGTGATTTTCACTGGTATGGTTTTTTTTTTTAATGTTTCTCATAAACATTATGTTGTGATATTGATTGTTGTTACATGGTAGTAGTATGAATTTTCGGCATTTGTGTACCCATTACACGATGTCTTATACGTGGTATTGATCCTTTATTCATTCCGATTCCAAGTTTTTTTTTGTATGATTTAAGTGATTTTTTGTATGCATTAAGAAAAATCTGGTATAGACTATTGTTGGAATTAGTGGATGCTGCCAAAGGGAGTGGCGATGTCATACGCAAAAAGGAAGAGACTCATAGAATGGCAGAGGCAAATAGAGCTTTGGCACATTTTCGTTAATCCATGAACATGATCTATATAGATGCATAGACTCATGGAGGTTACCATTGGTATAATTTTTTTGTATAAAGTGTACAATTTTTTCTTGTCATCATTTAACTGTTGATGTTGAACTATAAGAATCTATAAGTTTGTGGTATGGTTTAGGCAAATTGTGGTATATATTAGAGAATTAAGCTATTGACTGCTGCCAATTATCTTTGGTATGGGATTATGCAATCTATGATATAGATTGTGCTTCACGGGTAGCTGGAAACCTGTCTCTCATTGTTAATTATCAATCACTAGAATTCGATTTCTAATATCTAAATGAATAGAGGTTGGGAATTACAGATTAATCAATTTTACTAAATTAGCCCCATTGAGCATAGACCCTTCATATATATCTCTTCTTTTATACCAACAAATTCTCTACCAAGCAACACCCTGCTCTAAACCTAAAGTAGATACCCACTTGCATTTCCATCAATTATTTAAAATGATAAATACCTTCTACACTGATTGTAAATCGAATTAAGCTATCAAAGTTCATCATCGTCAGGGTGGCCGAGTGGTCTAAAGCGCCAGACTCAAGTTCTGATCCTCGAGAGAGGGCGTGGGTTCAAATCTCACTTCTGACATTTTTAGTACATTCTCAAGCTTTTTTCATTATTTTGTGCTTCTATTCTATCTCACAGGCTCACTGCTCCCTGTTCTCGTTGTTTTGGCCTTAGTTCTTCTGCAATTTCCATTGATCTCTAGCTTTTCTCATTGTTTCAGGATAGAAGGAAGCCATCCACCTCAAGCGTGTCTATGTGTGAGCAAAAACTGTAAACCATATATAACACGGTAATAGAGCACATTCACCGTTCAGAAGAACCAGAGACAGTCTGAAAGAAGAATCTATTTACCACCGTTTCGTCAAATTACAGAAGTCAAAATAATCTACTTTTTACAACAGGTAGCTTCAGCTTCTGCACACAGTAAATACAGGTCCAGAATTCGAAGGAAGGAGGCTCCAATAACGACCTCTACCATCAACACAACAGCTGTGCCACTTGATCCGGTAGCAGCCCTCCGGAAAACCAGATACACCAAGCACGCAACTTGAAAACCCCTGCCCCCTGTTGTTCACCTCAAACTGAACAACACTCTGAACAACCCCTTCCTCAACCCTGGGACGTTTACGGCCCCTATCAGTAGTCTTGTTAGCACGGTCTCTCACGTGATGGAACAGTTTCTCATTAGCCTGCACCATGTCATCCATGTGCCAGTCTTTGAAGTCCACTCGCTGGATTTGCCCCGTCTTGGTTCCTCTGCTGGTTGGACTGGACTCTGCGAAAGATGTGCTGGAATAGACTATGCAATATAGTTTCGATATGGGAGTGGGGAGATCTGGCAAGTTCTTAAGTTGGATGCATAGGTTCAGAGAGAGGTCGCATCCTGGCTGGACAATCAACTCGTTTTGGTTGGTGGCATCAGCATTGGAGGTGAAGAGCTCCGAGACAAGGCAAGGCCTGGATTTGAACACAAATATCAAGCATGAGAGAAAGAACTAAATGACTGAATGAAAAGACAGCACAGGTTGTTTTGTGTAAATTGCATGCTGTCATGTAAGGTGTATTTGCAAACAGAAACTGTTCAGCAGAAAAGGAAAAGGGGAAAAAAAATATTTGTAGAGCACATCTCGATGCTTAGTAACCCTGGTATGTTTGCGACTCCATGTACTATCTCAATTACACTCAGACATGTTGAAAGTGTTAGGCAAAAATGATAATATTTGTTCAGTTGCATGTCACTATCAATATCACTTCCCCATATACATCCAACCAAATGGCCTCTTACTGCAAAGAAATCCAATCAAAAGATTTTTCATTGCTGTATTATCCTACGAACTTAAGGAAAGAAATGATGAAGAGGGGGCAAATAGTGTTTAGTGTTACCTTGTTTTCAAGAAGTACATAGGGAGCTTGAAAGGAATTTGGAGCCATTTGACAATAGTATTCAACAGAAGCTGGAAGCTTTCTACAGTAACTTTGAGCAGAGCTTCCACATTATCGACTGGGTCTTTTAACTCGTTTCGAAATCCATCTACACGAGAAACAACATCGTGACAGATGCTGGTGATATCTCTTACTTCACCACTTTCCAGCTTCTGATTCCTAGGCTGGACATGAGGATGGTCTATGCCCAGACTGACATCCAAAAGTTGGAACAGAATAGAACAGGTGTCAGGATCTATGAGCCACAATCGACCAGCCAAGTCTTCTATCGACATTCTATTGAGATGCAGATTGCTATTGTCATTTGCATGCACAGTTGCAAAAGAAGCAGCTGTCCCAGAAGTGAAAGCCAACAGTGAACAACTCAAAGCAAGGGCCAAGATGATGTTTGAACTCTTGGTGTCCATGTTAATGAAAGAAATGTAGAGTAGATCCAGTTCTTGTGCTAGTCTCGTCAAACGAAATGAACATTGCGTAATTTGTTGTACAGAACTGAGACCATGTGCTAAACTTCCTTCAGCATGTCCACTGCCGCTAGAACCTAACACTTTGAGCACATCATATACAGTTGTAAGGACCAGCATTCTCAAAGCCAAAAACCATCTCTGGAAATAAAATGAATTGCCAAACTTGACAACACAATCCAGGGTTTCCGCAGAAGAACGTATACTGTTGTGAGCTTCTACAAGCACTTCACCATAACTTTCTCCACAGACTTGAACAGAAACACCTTGATCAACGCTGCCACAAGAGATGTTCCGGAAATAGAGAATTGGGATCTCTTTTGTTAGTGACCACTCTGCTAAACTGCACCTTAGTTTTGGTAAGAGAAACAACTGAATTCTCATCTCACATTGGGCATGCTGAGCTAGTGACTTTAACCAGCAAGAGGAGGATTCTGATTGAACCTTGCTTGCTATTTGCTCAAATATAAATTTAGCTGTGACCCACGCTCCTTGACCTGCTGCGAATTTTCCAGTCGTGTACAACTGCCAGAAATTCTTCTCTTTCAGCATCTCCATGACACACTCAAGGGTGAAAATTTCATGCTTAATCAAGAGATCACAATCCGAATCCCCCAACTGCCTATTTGGACTACAACCTTGTTTGCTCTTGTTGACAGCACAACCCCAAAACACTGAAGAGTGCACCTGTATAGAGTAAACTGCCTGCACATAGGAACCAAATAAACTGCACCTGTGTACACAATCAACCAACATCTTTACTTTGTCTAGTACTTCAGCAGCACTGGCACCAAGTTCAATGAGATTCTGAATGCATGCTACTGAGAACTTGTGAACTTGATTGGCGATCTTCAGACTAGTGCCGAAGTTCTTCGCTCTAAAATGATCCATCTCCTGACCAGTTGGAGCAGTTACTGTTGAGACAATAGCCTTCTCGGGCAAGTGGTTCACAAGATAATCAATTACCAATCTAATTCTATCCAGTACAATGACTCCCTGAACAAGATGTTCTCCAGCTACAAAAAGAAGAACAGCAAGCAACCTCCGTACTTCTGGAAGTGCTACATCCCAGTACCGATTACTATCCAACAACTGCTTCACCAGTGAGATGATCTGACCGATAATTGTCGAGATGATCCATGTCAGGGAAGGAAAAGAATCACAGTTTCCATCAAGCTCTGTGCCAGTTTTTCTGCTATTCTTAATGAGCACATCTGCTAGGATAGAGATGACTAGAACACGGTTGGACTCTATATTTGACTGGTTTGCATTATCCAAAATGGTGAGAACTTTAGAAAATTCACGCATCACATCACCAGGCATGTGCATCTTTTGGTACTTAAACATCTGCAAGTCGAGTCACTATAAATATGTAACAAAGTTTGAATATGATAAAAATCAGAAGTTCAGATTCAGGAAAAACCTTATGCAGAATCTGTAGTGCGTCGCATTGCATAGATATGGGCAGTTTAGTATCATGCACAATCTTCAGTAAGGGTTTGACGGTTAGGAGGCCAACAGGATGGGAACAAACTGGAGATGATAAAAGTCGAAGGCACCTTAAGGCCGTTGATTGCTGGTGTAAAGGTTTCTCTTGGCTAAGAAATGATAAAAGTACTTCTACCTGCATCAGGACTTGTAAAATTAGTAACCTTACAGGGAGAAATGTGCTTCTAGATAATCGCCACAGCAAGCTCTTCACAAATTTGCACATGCAGAAGTATATTGTACCATCACTAAGCTTAACTCCCAACTCCAAGCAGGAGTTCAATGTCAATATAGAAGATAATCAGCAAAATATTTCAGCAAATGCAGGGTCAAGGGTGAGGGGGAATAGAGTCCAGAGTTCATATCAATACATTACACTTGGCATGTCTTCATGAAATCGATGAAGTAATATAATCATGATTTTATCGAAGATGAAGAAATTGGAACACTAACCTGATCAGGTAGAATACTGCTAGATTTATAAGCCAGTTTTGAGAGCGAAAGTAGCAAGGAGACTGATAAATCCTCATCTGAAGAGTTTAGCAGCAGCTTCAGACCGATCTACAATGAAAGTATGGCTTGCTTTATAACACAATTTCACATGCTATTCACCATGCATCAAGGGAAGTATAAAAAACAGCAAGAGAATTCATACGAAAATGATTAGGGTGGAATGACATGGATGGAGCTGATAGCAGTGTACAGAAAGTTTATGACATGTTTTATTATACTTTTTTCCTTGTTGTAACTCAGCCTTCTGTTACAGTTGCTATATGGTATAGGGATACGTCTATTTTTTGTCAAAGACACATAAAACTGACAACTCTTGTACATAATTACACCTACATGCACAACTCCTCGTGTCTCTTAAAAGCTACAACTAATGTATCCTCTGGAAATACTGCAGAAATCAATAATCGCTCTATGGTGAATTGCAAGTTCTAATACTCTCAAGTCTGAGAAAATAAAAGTATTAGAAGCCAGTGACAATACAAGAAACAAAACCCAGCTACAAGCAATTTATCACCACCAGACAAAAGGAACGTGGATTGAGAGTAGATTGAAGATGGCAATTAACCTTGTATCCATTAACTGCATTAGGTGAAAAGTATCCCATTTTGGCGAAGACATTTGCTCCAGCTGCTCTCAAAGTTGATGATAGCTCGGATGAAGCCACTATACGAGGCAGCATTTCTAAGACAACAGGAGCAAAGTCATCTGCAAACTTACAAAAGCAACCTGCAGCAAACAAAGATGCTTTTACCTGCACACACAAAAGAATCCAAACATAATCCGCTATTCTCATAAGGAACTACATGTAAGAACATAATCAAGATCGAACTGATAGCTTACTTGGTGAAAAGAAGGGATGAGGAATTCCAGCAACTAAATTTGTGAATACCGATGACAGAAATTATCAATTTAAAAAAGTAATAAGAGATTGCCCTCATGACTAAATGTACTAAATAAATGTGACACATCAGCTGATCCTATCGAGTCAGCATGAAACATATGATCTCTATGTCTGTAGCATTTCATAAATGATCAATACTAAGGAGAGAAAAGAATTGGGGCTCAAGCAACATTATCAGACGGCAAGCACAAGGACAATTCTTACACAACCTGTACAAAATAAGGTCTGGGAGTAGGCTAAAGCACATCACCTACTAAGCCACTTTAAACGGTTAAGAATAAAGATCCTAGCTTTCCTTCTAATCTGCAGATATAAAGTGCACGCAGAGCAAACACCATGAGAACACACGATGTTAAAACAGCACACTTTCCATACTCAAAACCAGTTTGGTAAGACTACTAACCTCACCTCCATTACCTCCGACGAGACCAAGCTTGAGAGTATTATATATCTGATATGAGCATTATCCCTCGAAAATTCAGCCCAGCTACCAAAGAGGACCAAAGCCAGAACTCTTGACTCTAAATCGCCAGTATAAAAAACAATCTTCACTCTCTTCAGAAGTTCCAAGGGATTGCACATCTTGGCTTTTGACATAACCCCGTGATAGCGCTTAGTTTTCCTTCTCATCTTGAACAGTGATAGAAATACCTTGACAACAGAGACCCTTATATCTTTATCGCCTGACCTGAAGGCATCAGCAAGCTTCAAAAGAATACAGTTGAGAAAGAACCTCTCCTCCCCAGCGACCAAGTCAAATATCTTATGCGCTGCCTTTGTGGGTTCAGGTTTCTGATCCCACTGCTGGAGCCTGCTCCCGGTTTGTTGTATGGCCTTGACAGCTTGACCTGAGGAACAAAAATTATAGAGCTCAATTTTCAATGACGGTCAGTTATGCAAAAGGGATTCAGCAAGTACACTAACCAGGCTTCCTCGAACGAAGGCCCTTGTCAAGCTCAATGCTCCATTCCATGGCTGAAGCTGCAGAAATCTTCTCCATTGCCACCAATGCTTCTTCTAACCTTGTTTCTCCACCCCACTGACAAACGTAACTACACTTGAAATGGGCTTTGCGTCAAGTTCGCCAGCCTCTTCCAATTTCTCCACTTTCTTCTTACTACTATTACCAAGGTTGTCAAACCGGATTAAGTCCTCTAACCGGTTTAACAAGGGATTTGAGGTTTAATGGTCGAATCGGGGTTCAACCGGATTAAGCCGGCTGACTTGATACATTACTCGATTCCATCTATCAACCTGTAAAACAAGTAAATAATTAACAAAATAACAAAGTATCATCAATTCCATCAACCAAATTAACCTGCTGCATTCCTTACTAACTCCTAATTAACAAACAAACGTCAATGCTCTTTCTTTCTTTCTCCCCCACTCTCTCTATCTAACAACAACCAATGCTCGATTCCATTGTGGAAACTGGAAATGGAAACAGAACCAAGATGTGCTTTTCCAATTCTGAAACTACACAATAGAAACCTAATTAAGCACCTACCTGAAACGATCTAAGCTAGTATTGAGGCAGGGGCGGGGACTGCTGTCAAGGCGGCGGGGAGTTGGGTCGATGCGTCGGGCGGGGAGCGGCGGCGAGGAGTTGGGAACCTGGTTTGAGACGAGGGGGCGAATGAGCGGCGGTGAGACGTGGGGCAGGGAGTTGGGTCGAAACGAGGGAGCGGCGGCGACTGCGCTGGTTGTGGCCGCGGGCGAGGGCTCTGCTGGCTGCTGCTCGGCAGAAGAAGAAAAGGAAGGGATGCGATTAGGGTGAAACTGGACCAAACCCAGCCCTGACCCTGCCACTACCCAAAAAAATCCAGCCCTGTATAGGGCTAGGAAAATAGACCAGACCGTTAGAAAAACCATGGTCCAAACCATACCGCACAGTTTGGTCCGGACCGTAGACCGTGAAGTATGGTCTGGTCTGGTCCATGGTCTGTATTATTTTATGATTTGATCTCTTGGTCTGGTCTGGTCTAGACCGCGGTTTACCGCACCAGACCGTAGACCCAACTGACTTGTCAATACGTGTTAACAGCCCATTCGACCACTCTCCAAACCCCCACAACGACACCCAAGTCTCAACCTTAATTTTGTGAATCTCTTCCCTCCTTCATTCACAACCACATTTAACCACAGAGTAGAGATAATCGTGTCTCCATATGACGTAATGTTAATGTTTATGACATTATGGTGCAAGCTGGGATGCTTTTACTTTGTATCTTTGTTATGTACTAAGATTTAGAGTATCAAAATTATTCATGCATGTTAGGATTAATGTTTTAAGGCAAATAACAATTATTTTTCTTGGTTATTGGTTCAAATTTTTGTGTGGTTGACTAAACAAATTATTCATTTTTCGTTGAGTGTGGTCTATCTGGACCAGACCAGACCAAACCAGACCGCATAGGCGTGGTCTGGACCAGACCGTATAGTCTGTGGTCTGGTCTGTGGTCTATACTTTAGCCTCTCGGTCTAGACCGTAGACCGTATATATGGTCTGGTCTGGACCAGACCGCACCGTTTCCCAGCCCTAGCCCTGTATGCTCAAATATTTGGCCCGACCCGGTCCGACCCGGCCCGACCCTAGTCTCATTTGGCCCTATATGACCCTGTTGGGTCGGGCTGGGTTGGGTCGGGTCGGGTCGGCCCAACTTCTTTTTATACAATATTAGCCCATTTGATTATTTAATATCAAATTAAATTTCAAAAAATTGCAGGTATATACTAGAAAATTTAAATGAGTTCATAACAAAAATAATCTAAATTAAATAAAGAAATTATTTAAACTAATTCAAAGTGTGGCCACACATCTGAAGTTCCGAATGCACTTTCTTCACTCTCACTAACATTCGTTGGCAGAACTCTTTCGGAAGGTGTGCCGGTTGAGCTAGCCATGGGATTGTTACTAGTTGCTTCGTCCATAATTTCAAATCTAAAAATCACACAAATATAGAGAGTGGTTAAAAACCTCACAATGTTGATCCTTTTTCTTCAGTAAGCCTTTTTCTTGGTTCACAAGGTTGTTGCTTGGTCTCTTCTTCTCCAGCTCCTAGGATAATGATCCAGCTTGAGCTTGACCGCCCAACATTCTCACTTTTAGTACTGTTGTTAATGTTCACTGTTGACTAGCTTTGTAGCTCACTGGAAAAAAAAAAGAATAGGAAGGAAAGAGATAAGTATACAAGACCATGAATGAGTGAGCCAATAATCTAAAGTTTTTTGTTTCAGTGATGATTAAGACATCACCAGCACCAAGTTATGCATAATTATGTTAAAACTGACTATCAATTAACTTGACATTAAAAAAGTTCCAACCAAATTTGATATGTATGCAAAACTCGACAGAGTATAATAATAATAATACTATTACTAGTCTAGTAATTAAGCTACAGATTTACTTAAATTAATCATATCTTCATTCTAGATAACACTGCAGTAATGATACCTTCCTAGCACATGTATCTCCTTTGTGAGAGTTATTAAAAACTTCTGCATAATCATATTTCAACTTAATATTTAATAAACCACACAGAGGAATGAAGCAGAGTACTTTTTGTGGGAGGGTGAGCAGAAGAAGACAGAGGGATCAACCGACCAAAAACTAGAAACCTTTGTAACAACAACAAAAACAAGCGACTCTCTGTTGTTGGTATACAACTACAAAACCATCAAACTCCCCTCCTGAAAAAACCTTATATAAACCCCAAGCCATGGCTAACTCATTCAACAAAACAAAGCAGCAAAGCAAGCAAGGAAGCAAGATCATTCTGCATTCATTCTTTATTGGTGCAGCTCAATAATGTAAAGTTTAAAACCATACAGAACTCAAGTGTTGGATTACCAAAGTTGAAACTTAAACAATGTCCTAACCTACTTGAAACAAAGTTGCAACCACAGGACCATCAAATGAACTTTCTGGTATGTAAGAAAATCACACTGTGCAGCAGTTCCAAGCTTTGAAAACAACATAGCAGTAGTGCATTGGAAGTACCTCTTTCAAAATTCAAACATCCTAAGGTCTTATTTGCATCTTGAACCAGGATGCACAAAAACAAAGAAGCATTGCAGTGTGCAGCAAACATTTACAGATGATGTTCTTACTAACTAACAAACAATTGCCCACAAACACAAAAAGCCCCATACAAAGAACCATATAGCAGCACAAATCTTGGCAATCAACAATCAAGACCCAGTAAAAGACCACCAGATTTTCAAGGGTTTGGCCTCAAACATTCATCATCTAGTACTCATAAACACCACCACTCACATAAGCGATCACACCATTTAAAGCAAGATCGCCAAAGCAACAAAAAAACCCACTGAAGCACAGCAGAAAGCTTGAAATTTGGAAGATACAAAAAAAGATCGACTTGAAAACCCCCCAATCAATGAGTGCGGATCTGGTGACTAAGGGGGGGTGCTTAGTCACTTGACTAAGTCCCTCCTAGCCATTAGATCTGGACACTTCAATCCAATGGTTAAAAAGTGGGAAGGGCTATTTAATTAATGGCAGGGGTAGTTTGGGTATTATGGAAAATTACGAAGTATACAAACCGGATTTACAATCAGTACAAACCATACAAACATACGAACAGTACAAACTAGAGCGACAAAACATACAAACATTACAAACGTATGAACTGTACAAACAATACAAACTAGACTGACAAACAATACAAACCATACAAACATACGAACAGTACAAACTAGAGCGACAAAACATACAAACATTACAAACGTATGAACTGTACAAACAATACAAACTAAACAATACAAACCATACAAAAAGAAAAAACACCCGGGTTGACTTTGGAGGCTCCATCCCTATATAGAGGGGCTCCTTTCCAAAGTCAACCCGGGTGTTTTTTAGACATACAAACAGTACGAACATGGTGGACAAAAATGACAAACTAGACCGACAATCCATACGAACTGGAAAAAAACACCCGGGTTGACTTTGGAGGCTCCATCCCTATATAGAAGGGCTCCTTCCCAAAGTCAACCCGGGTGTTTTTTAGACATAAAAAACATTACGAACATGGTGCACAAAAATGACAAAGTTTACAAACATGGTTAACAAAAATAACAAAGTTTACAAACATTACAAAAAAACGACAAACATTACAAAATAACAAAGCATACAAACATTACAAAATATGTCAACAAACTTCACAAAATTAACATTGTCACCGGGAAATTCTTCTCCGGCGACGATGTTCGTCGGGAAAAATTTTCCGGCCAAAAAAACTCTCTCTCTCTCTCTCTCTCTCTCTCTCTCTCTCTCTCTCTCTCTCTCTCTCTCTCTCTCTCTCTCTCTCTCTCTCTCTCTCTCTCTCTCTCTCTCTCTCTCTCTCGTATAATTCCATGGGCAATTCCCCCAATTCCATGGCAATTCCCTGGGGAAAGTTGCCTGGGTCGGAAAAAATATCCCCTCTCCCTCTCTCTGCCATAGGAATGGCAGCAGGGCAAAGGAATAAAATGGCAGTGGCAGGGGGATTATTCCCATCACCGGCGCCGCTGAGAATAAAAGTGGCCGGCGGAGCAAAGGTAAGCCGGCGGGAGGAAATACGAGGGGCATGGGCACGTTATTTTTTAATTAATTAATAATTGAAAAATAATAAAATAATGCAATTACTATATTGTCCTTCATTAAATTGAATTAATCTGAGCCTTTGGATTTAAATGAGGTTGGATGGCTGAGATGCACTTAGTCACATGACTAAGGGGACCCCCCTTAGTCACCTGATCTTGGCCCCCAATCAATCAGCTACTAAAGAAACCAACAAAACTCAATTAAATTCAATAATAAGACGATGAAAGCTATTCCGAGTCTCGGACCTGAAGCAATGAATAAAACTCATAGATCGACCACCTAAAGAAGTGAAACTAGCTAGCTACCTCTCGATTTTCCCTCCTCACCCATCAATCTCACCGTGGAACCAGAGCTTTGCAACCGAGATGCTGTTCCTGCGGTTCGTTGTCGACGAGGAATTCGGACCAGCAATGAGGCGCAGAGCCAGCAGCAGCCAAATGGAGAACGCGAGTTCGCCGATTGATAAGAAAAGCTAGGGTTCGCAGGTTCCCTACAGAGAACAGGAGAAGAGGAGGAGGCGAGGGAATTCTTTCCGGACGACAGAGGGAAATTGCCGGAGAATAAAGGGTTACTGCTGTTTTGGAGAAATCGTCGACAATGGCGTCGGGGGAAAGGGATTCGAAAACTCGTCGACAGTCGCCAATTTAGGGGTGGCAGTCGGTCGGTTTCGGTTTAACCGAAAACCGAAAATCCGGTTATCGGTTAAACCGAGACACCTCCTAGAGCTGCCGACTGAAGAGGAGGTCACGGTTAGCCGGCCAACCGACCGGTCGGTACCGGTTTTAGGCTCGGTTAGCCGGCCAACCGAAAAAAAATACAATTTCCAAAAAACAAAAAAAAAACCCAAAAAAATCTCCTCCTCTCTCCTTTCTTCCTCCACCAGATAGGGATGGCAACAAAACCCGAACCCACGGGTACCCACCCGACCCAACCCGGTCAACGCGGGTAAAATCCGTGTTGACGGGTTCTGGGCCGGGTTTGGGTTTAAACCCGTTCACTATTCACCGGGTTGGGTTGGGTTTGGGTTTAGGTAAACCCGGGCCGTGGGTACCCGCCCACCCATATAATTAATTTTTCGGTATATTTAATATTCTAAACAACTAATCTTGTTTATGTTTATGGAGACATGTCTAATTTTTTCTTTTTAATTGTGTAAAATGAAG